TCTCCAGGAAGCCGGCCAGCTATGGATTCCGCGCCACCCGAACGGATTCCATGGAAAACTACGACGCCAGGGTGCCATTGGAGAAATCACGGCGAGCTCACGTTCTAATACCGCGTTCTTCAGGTGAGCTCGCCGCGTCTCTCAAAGCGCCGTTCCAGCGCAGCTTGGAAAACACGAGAACAGCAGCGGCTCCGCAACTACTATCTCTTGGCTCTAACAACTTAAAACTACTAGCCGCGCGCACCCAAGTTGAGTTGGCTACCTCAAAATGAGCATCTTTGTTAGTTCTGTGACGACTAACTTTATTTTTAGCGGGGCAGGCGGGGTGTGGGGCTCAGCTGTCCCGCGCTGGCTGCGCCCCGATCGGCTTTTGGGGGTCGCCTCGAGACACCTGCCCGGCCCGGCTCGGACCCCCGAGCGAGGCATCCCATGCGTGAAAAACAGGAGCCAAATTGGGTTGGCGGGGGACGGCGGCGGGAAGGTGCGCTGAAATCGCAGACCCGCCCCGGTGATTGCCTCCGCAGGCGGTGGGGCGTGGCGTGGCGGGGCCGGGCGTGGCGTGGGGATTGACCTGCGACGCTCCCCGATTGACTCACCTTGAGGACGTAGATGTCGCCGGTCGTCTTGTTGATGTCGAACTTGGAGTTGGCCGGGTTGTCCGGATCGATCCCCTGACCCGTAAGGAAGTAGACGATGTTCTGCGGCCTGTCCTGGTCGCCGTCGGTCGCCGTCACCTGTTGGGTGGCAGAGGCGAGAGAGCGCCGTCAGCAAGTGCTGCCAGGAAGAGGGGAAAACGCCTCGAGAGACCGACAGAGGACACTTTCGGCGTTTCCCTTCTTCAAGGCGGTAAAAACAATGTCTGGTTCTGGTTTATTTTTGAAAGGGAAAAAGGAAATACTTTGAGGATCTCCCATATTTGTGGAAAACTCCTCCGATTTTTAAGGGAAATTTTCTCAAAAATATGAGGGAAATTCCCACATTTTTAAAAGAGACTTCTTCAAAATCTAAAGAACTACGGTATAATAGTTCCTCATAGTTGTCCCTTTTTCCTCAATAGGTTAGACATTGTTTAAACCGTGTTTTCCATGTGATGCAAGATGCAAGTTTCCTCTGTTTATTAAAAGATGGTTTACTTAAATGTGTTCAAACAACCTGTCACACCAAGTGTGAGACAGTCTAACACGTTTCGAGAGTTTATTTCCCATATCCTTTTGACTGCTAAATGGAGGGGGATATCCTTTGCGAATGTGACACTAGTGTCACACTTTGCATGGCAAAACAAACTTCGTCACCACAACGAAACGAGGAAAGTAAAATAGACATGCGGCAAGACTTGTTTGTTCCCGGCGAGAACAATTTGATGGGAGAACCAACTTTTGCTGCCCAACCAACACCTTTGATACAGCAACGATTGCGTTTGTCGAGATTAGCGCATGAGTGTTGTAGTCTACAAAAATATTGGTTGTCCCAGCCAAAGTATTTGACAGGAAGTTTGGTTTAAATAGTAAATTATCACCTGGATCAAACAATTTTGGTATGAATAATATTAACAACAATGTTCGTCGTGGTGACCATGTTTTTTCCGTGCTAGTAAGCAAGTCTGTGCGCATAACACTAAGATATAGTTTCATTTTCAGACACTTACTAGAAACGCAAATAAGACTACTAAAGACAACAAGACGTGCGTAAATGTCACAAAACCAGCTGTGCTAGTTTTAGTTTGGTAGTATTATTGATTCATTCACAGAGTGCATGCAAAGTGTCCATGCAAGGAAACAGACACGCGTTCTACTGGTTGATACTCACGTCACAGAAGAGAAGCGGTTCAGAATCACAATTGGAACACAGATCGGAATTCTGCCTAGCAGCTCGGTTTGCTCACGGCAAAGACGGCTCGAAAAGCGATTGTATTGCACTGATTGAAGCTTAAAAATTTTTGGTCGAATCGGTTGGGCTAAAATTTATTGTCGATGTTCAAAGACATATACACTCGGTTAAAGCTTCTTTCTGTTAGTATCTAATTGCTAACGCCTAGACGATTGTTTCACGTGCTCAGGTTTGTTTCTAGAAACTTTTGTGAGCCGTGTTTCGAAGGTTGGCTGGGGCTGAGGCTGAGC